GGTGGCCAGAAGTCCAAATCTAATCTTTCAGCCTTAGAGATCATAGAGTTAACTCTTCTTATTTCAGAGATGATGAACGTGAGGACCAGTTGCTCAAGGTCACACAGCTAAGTGTGAGCTGGACTGAAATTAGAACCCAGGGTTTCTAATCCGCTCATTCTAGGCTATTTTCTAGTATCACCATGATGCTTCTGTAGATAGAACAGGAACCTCTTGTGCTGCTGATGATTATATAGTCAGAGAGTATTCCCTTATGCAGACCACTAGAATTGCCAGACCTCCTTTCTCTTTAGATGCAAAGGACTTTAGGGATAGTTGGTCTTATGAAAGTCACAAGGGTCTTTTCCTCTCTTAATCTAAATGTTTCCTTAATACCAGTAAGATCCCAGGATCATTTAGAAAAGTAAGGGAATTTAAAAATAATCTAGTCCAACCCTCTCTTCTACAGATGAGGAAACTAAGGGCTAAAGAAATTAAGTGACTTACATACAGGTAGTTTACACAGGTAATAAGTGGTAGAGTCAATATTTGAACCCAGGTCTGCTATAACACCAACATCAGTTTTTGGGTTTTTTTCCCCACTGTATCTGATACAACTATAATCAAGGAATAAAATGTAAATCATTCTCTGAAATTTCAAGACCTCTGGGAAGCAGGAAACGCTGTTAAAAGCTGAGTCCAAACCAAGTCTTCTTTACAAAATCTAACTGACAATATACCTTCTCAAAGAGTTCTCCTTGCCCTTTCAGGTGTCCGGGAAAAGAACCAAGAAGGCTTGACTTCCAATCCCATATCTGACACTCACTAGCTGTGAGGATTGGGATGAGTCATGCTTTTTCTAGGACTCAGTTTCCTGATTTGTAAAATGAGGAGTCTGGACCAAATGACCTAATACATTTCCCCCAACTGTGTAATTCCTATAATTATCCTTATCACTTGAACAAAAGAAAAAAGTTCCTTTCGATCCACTTGTTGCTTGGGTACGTTTACTAATTGTTCCTTCCCAGATCCTTGGTATGCCCCCCGTCCTGAAACAATTAGGTCACTACTTGGTTTCCCTCTATCACTATTTGGTAGAGCGGTGGAAGGTGGAAGAACAGGCTTTTACAGAGGTTTCTGGGGATCCACTGCCATCTAGTGCATTGCAGAAGAAATGCAGCTAATTCAGCCAGACTGAAAAAGCAGGTCCTGTTCCTTCTTACCCTTCATCCTAGTTGAGGGATGTCAGTCATCCTGCTGGGAGTCACAAAGAAGAGAGAGAAGGAATAGCGTGGTGGAGTGGAAAGAGCCTTACAGGCTGAATCATACACGCTCAGAGTTGGAAGGGACTTGAGTAACCATCTAGTCTAAGCATGGCCCCATGCTATTGCCAATTGGCACTAGGTCTTCAGAATGATTGTTAAACTTTCAGTGTGACCATTTACACCTCAGAAATCTGCAAACACTACAAATGAAAGCTTGGTTTGTTGTTTTGGTGATTGCCTAGACTTAAAAAGTGATGGAGAGAATGTTAGTAAAGCAGGTTAAACTTTAATGTGCATCATGTATATATCCCCCAAAAAAGATGTTTGTTAAACTTTTATCAACATAGCCCTAAGTCTAACCCATAAATGAAAAACAATCCCCTCTACAATATACCAGAGAAGTAGGCAGCCAGGCTTTGCTTGAAGGCCTCCAATCACGGGAAACCCACTATCTCCCGAGGCAACCTATTCTTTGGGGGGATATCTCTAATCATTAGGATCCCACACACACATAATGAGCCATCATGTCCCAGATACTTCCTTACCCTGGGAGTTCACTCTGTACTTGCATCCTCCTCACCTTGGAAGTTCATTTTGACCCTGGCCTTCTCACACTGAAGTCCTTGAGGCCTTTTCCTTTCATTGGTGGACAAATGACCCCATTTTAAGGGAGGTGCCCAATCCAACCATGTATTCTTCTTCATTCATTCTTCTCCATAATCCACTCCTAATTCTCTGGGCTTTCTTCACCATACTCCCCACTGGTCCCCTCCCCTACTTTTTAGCTTCCTTTTATGGGCTATATTCCCTCATTGGACAGCTAAGTGGCACAGCTAATAGAGTACTGGGCCTGAAGTCAGGAAGACTCATCTTCCTGAGTCCGAATCTACCTGCAGACACTTACCAGCTGCGCGAACCTGGGCAATTACTTAATCCTATTCACCTCAGTTTGCCTTAAAATAAGCTACAGAAGGAAATGGCAGACCACTCTCTTTGCCAATAAAACCTCACATGGGGTCACAAAGTCAGACAGGATCAAAACTACTGAACAATTCCCCCATCAGAATGTAAGCTCCTTGAGGACAGGGACTGTGTTTCTTTCTGGTTCTCTTGTATTTTCAGTGCTTAGTATAGTGCCTGGATCACAGCAACCACTTAGTAAATGTTTGTTAATTTGTTGACTTGAATTGATTAAATTCCCTTTGTTGATCTGAGTTGTGCCCTTCGGAGCCAAGCAGAACAAATTTAATCTTTCTTCCATAAGACAACCTTTCAGATACTTGAAGTCAACTATTATAGTCCCTCCTGAGACTCCTCTTCTCCTAGATATGCATGCCAGTCCCTCCAACAAATCTCCATATGTCTTGAGGTTGTTGCATTCAAAACTCTATGTAAAGAGCTCAAGAAATGGGGGCAAGAAGTCCGTGTATGAGGAAAGCCACAATGGACTTTCTTGCCTCTTGTCACACCCATTACTCCATCTCCTGTTTCTTTGTCTTTTCACTGGCAGAAATCCTTGCCCTCATCATATCCAACTCCAAGAATCCCTTCTTCTTAACATTCTTATTTCTGTCCAAGGGTATCACCATCCTCAGTCACCTAGGCTTACAGCCTAAATGTCTTCTTCGACTTTTTATTCTCCTTCACCCCCATATCCATTCAGTTGCCAAATCCTGTCAATTCTACCTTTAGAGCATCTCTGATATATACCTGCTTCCTCCTCTCAAAGGAAGGACGGGGTTGTCACCATGCTGGTCCAGTGCCACATCGCCTCATGCTTGGACCATTTGATTATTTTAATAGCCTGATGTTTGGTCTCTTCAAGTCTTTCCCTACTCCAGTCCATCCTTCACTCAGCTGTCAAATTAATCTGCCTAAAGCCCAAGTCAGGCCATGTCAAACCCCTTCCCCCCATTCAATAAAAATTCCAGTGACTCCCTATTACCTCCAAAATCAAATATCAGTTCTTCTCCTTGGCTTTCAAATTCCTTCATAACCTGGTCCCTTCCTACCTTTCCAGGCTTTTTACACTTTGTCACAAATACATACATACATACATACATACATACATACATACATACATACGTACATGCATGCATGCATACATACACACACACACACACACACACACACATATATATATATATATACATACATATATACATGCACTCTGAGATCAAGTGATACTGACTTCCTTGCTACTTCTTGCACACAATACCCCATCTCCTGACTTAGGGTATTTTTGCTAGTTGTCCTTCATGCCTGGAATTCTCTTTCTTCCCAACTTTGCCTTCTGACATCCCTGGCTTCCATCAAGTCCTAGATAAAACCCCACCTCCTGTAAGAAACTTCTCCCAATCCCTGTTAATGCTCATGCTTTCCCTCTGTTGACCAACTCCAATTTATCTCTATATTGCTTGTTTGAAACTAGTTGTTTCTTCCATTAGATTGTGAGCTCTGCTGCAAGTTGCTTTAACCTTATGCATAGAATCAAAAGGCTTCATCTCAAGAGAACTGGACTCAATAAAAAAAAATTCAATTTGAAGTCAATCTGATTGATTCACTTGTTAGTCAAATTACCTCCTTAGTGTAATTCAAGATAAATAACAAATCCCTAATGACTTTTTTTGGTTCAGACCAAATTTCATTGGTGATTTCATTGGTTAAAGGGTGCTCCCAGTGGGAAAACTTCCTCCCCAATTTAGATTGCCAGTCGTTCTGTGAGTCACTGAATAGGCATTGCCTCAGACAAACTGAGGCCTGGGAAAGACCTTAATTTAGAAAGGCCTAGGGCATCGTCTGCATACTGTGCCATTGCCACCCACCTTGACTTTTGTCTTGCCCCTGGATTCTGATGACTGTGGAGGACAGGGTGAGGTTGATGACATTGTGCAACTCTGACTCACTGAAATCCAATTCACTCACAAGTCAAGACATCACCCTTTCCACATCATTGGTCTTCTTCAAGAATGAAGGATGAACAACAACAATAAATTACTGCCTTAGAATGTTGCTTGGGGCATGAGGAACCTAAGGGGCTTTCTCAGTATATGCCAGAGGTGGGACCTAAACTCATGTCTTCTCAATTCTTATTGACTCTTTCACCTCTCTACCACTCTGGCTCCTGTTGAATGTTGTTAAACATAACTCAGCTAATTAACTACACTGGGTAAATGAAATCTGAAGATGGGACAATGGAAAGAGTCGAATAACAAAAGACAAGAGATCTGGGGTTTTGACTTGACTTTGCCACTGGGTGATCTTGGACAAGTCACTTAACCTCCATGAGTCTCAGCTGCCTTCTGTATAAAATGAGGCATAAGCCTATCATGGATCATTGAGCCAAAAGGAACCTTAGAGATCATCCAGCCCAAACCTTTCAACTCCCAGTCCTATACTCCTTCCATTACACCAGAGGTGTCAAACACATAATCTATGGGCCACATTAGGTCCACAGCATTCTCACGTGGCCCAAATCAGATTAAAATATATTGGGGATATACATTGTATTTAAAATGTATTGGAGAAATAACCAAAATTTTAAAAATACAGTAAAACACATATAATGTTGACTTCTGATTTTCTAAGTTAATTTGTACCACAGATATCTTTATGCACCATTTAGTAGTCCCTGATTCATGTTTCCTCTTAAGTAAGATTATCCTACAGAGCATCAGAATGTGGAAGCCCCATCTGGCCTCACAGCTCAGAATTTATGTCTCCCTGTTTTCCACCACCCACTGCCTTTCTGCTGACCTGCTGGAGAACTCGAGACCTCCCAGCCAAAGCAGTAGTGTGCTCAGCAATGCCTCTCTGGGATGCTAAAGAGATCTCTTGCTTGGGGAAGTCAACAATAGGATACACCTAAAAGAGAAAAATAAGCAATAAATAAAAGTAAACTAATGCATACCCTTAATTCTCTTTGATTTCACACAGGAAGGTTAAGATTCTTCAAATACTCAAAGGGTGTCATTTGGAAAAAGGTTTGGACTTGCTTTATTTTGCCCCCAAAGGGAAAAACCAGGAGCAATGAATAGAGGTTGCAATGAGACAAAGTTAGTCATTGTGTTAGAAGGGGGGAAAACCTTCCTAAAAATTAGAGCTATCCAAATGTCGAATGGGCTGCCTTGGAAGGAATGGGATTCATATCACCAGAAGTCAGCAAACAAAAGCTGAACATCTATTCGTTAGCTATGCTCTTGTAGGTGGTCCTTCTGGGTAAGGGTGGAAGTAGAACACTATTAAGGTTTCTTTCAACTCTAAAATTCTTTGGTTCTATGATTCACAGTCCTTGACAATAGAGAATCTATCCAGTTTAACACATTCTTTTTATAGTTAAAAAGTGTTCTCCTCAAGTGTACTCCAAATTATCAACATTGGACAAGTCCCAAGCACTTATTATGGAAAAGGAGGAGGGGGAGGAGAATGAGGAGGAAGAGGGAAAGAAAGAGGAGAAGAAGAAGAGGAGGAAGAGGAGGAGGATAAGAGAAAGAATTGCTCTGTTCATCTGAGATAAGGGGTATAATGCATTAGAAGACCTGGGCTTAAGTCCTAGCACTGTCACCTAATGGCCTTGAACTTCTTCTGGTCTTGTCACTTACCCGCTCTAAACCTCAGTTTGTAAAATGGAGATAATGCTTGTGCTCTCATAAAGCTGTTTTGAATTTAGTTATTTATAAACTGTAAAGGAATATATATATATATATATATATATATATGTGTGTGTGTGTGTGTGTGTGTGTTATATAAATATATGCATGTATGCTTATATTATATATAATATATGAATATGTTTAAATCACACATACACATATGTATCATGTATATTACATACACATGTGCCTGTGTGTTATATACACTTGTGTGTCATATATACACATGTGTATTTACATCTATGTATATCCTATATACATCTATGTATGTGTAACATAACATGTATACATATGTGTATGTGTTGTATACATATATCCATTTGTGTATGTATATATGCATATATACACACAAGTGTGTATATGTATATATACCTTCTTTCCTTTCCCCTTTCATACAATGGCTGGGCTGGCATGAACCTATATAAACAAGGCTGACCTTACACAGAAATAAAATGGGTGGCCACCTAAGTATTTCAATATGAAGAACGCTGAAGGCCCCCTACATGTCACCAAAAACAAAAACAAACAAAAACAATCCCTCCAATGCTTGACATTACTTTGTGTTCAGAATTGTTCTCCCCTTGGAATCCTCTTTGAGAATTATCTGTGGTATGGGGAATAATTCAAATTTCTAAAAAACCTTTAAGGTTGTCAAAAAGTTTTGTCCGTGATGGTTCACAATAATCCTGTGAGGTAAGCAGAGAAAATGGCATTATTCCTGCTTTATAGATGAGTAAATTAGAGTTAAGCGATGTTAGGTGATTTGCTCAATGTCACTCAGATAATAAGTGGCCAAGCTATCTCTGCAACCCACATCTTCTGACTCCAAAACCAGTGTTTTTGTTTGTACCCCATACTGCCTTTAGGAGAATCCCAGCATTACTCACCTTCCATGACTGCTATATCAGTAGATATAACATATGGAAAAATTAATGGCCTTTGTATAGTGCTTTAAAATGAGCAAAGAATTATGAGTACCTTTTCTCAAATGAGAGAATACATGTAGTAATATCTAACAAAATTATACACACACATATAATGCTTTGCCAACTTTAAAGTGTTATCTAAATGTTAGCTATAATTATCTCATGTAATTCTCATGACGACCCAATGAGGAAGGTGCTATTATTATCCCCATTTTTCAGATGAACAACTGAATCTGAGAGATGTTAATTGACTTGCTCTAGCTCAAACAGCTAGTAAATATTTGAGGCAGGATTGAAACCCAGGGCTACCTGACTGTAAGTACAGTCTATCCATGACACAGTGCTACCTTTACATAAGAAGTCTTTGTAAACTAGGAAGTCCTATATAAATGCTGCTGCGGCTGCTCTCCTGCCTTCTAAGTACAAACTTGCCTGGGAGGAAGAGTACTATGAGTTACTTAATTCCTCATAATGGCTATGTTTTACAATGACATTGCAATGACACTTTGATTAGAGGAATCCAGGCCTCAGGAGAGCACTGAAGAATGAAGACAGACAGTAGGCAATGAAAATTGGGGGGGTTCTCAGAAAAGAAAGGTGTAGACTGATTTTATCACCTTGACTATTTGTCCGAGGGCTATCCCTGTATGTTACCTTTCTATTCTTCTGAAAGATTCTGAAAGGCCAAGAGAAATTTGTAGTTTTTCACTCAACAAAACCAACAAAAACCCTTGATTCCTCTCCCACCCCAAAAGGCCACATTTTCTTTCAGTCCCTCAGTCAATGAAGCATGTGTAAGCATTAACTAAGTGCCAGGCCCTTGCTCAGTTCTGGAAATACAAAAAAAGAGTGAAAACATCATCCCTGCCCTCAAGAAGCTCACATTCTAATGGAGGAAATAACGTGCAAACAATAAGTTACATACAACATACACACAATGTAAATTAGAAATGATCTCAGAAGGGAAACACTAGCAATGGAAGGGACCAACAAAGAGTCTTTGCAAAAAGTGAGATTTAGTTGAATCTTGGACAAAGCCAGGGAATCTAGGAGACACAGAGGGGGAGAGAGAACTTTCCAGACATGGGGGACAATCAGTGGAAAAGCCCAGAGGTGGGGGTTGAAATGATATGTGTGATGAGCAATAAGAAGCCCAGTTTCAAAAAAAGAAAAATTGGGCACAATACAAAGATGGGTTTTTTAAAAACACTTTGCTTTACTTTCTTATATCTGTCCTCACCATAGCATTTTCATCCTTAAATATATTTTCTCCTCTGACTTTAGCCAACAGCTCCTCTGGAAAGTTCATGTGGTGCTCAGTGACAAACTCAAACAGGCTGTTTTTCCTGAAAGGGGAGAACAAAAGCCTGGTGGTTATGACCGGAATTTCCAAGAATTTTCTGAAAGCTACATTATTGATTCCTTCACTATCCTTTCATTGGCTCAATCTATCCTGAAACCATTGCTCTCTCTTGGAGATTGGCCAAAAATGATTCAAAATTCTCTCACAAAAATGTCTATTCTGATGGAAATTTATCTGATGGGATGAATACTAAGTTCCCTAGAACATCAATAAACCACATAGAACGTAGAGCAGAATTACAAAGCCAAAACAACCAAACATATTCCCATACTGCCCCATCCCTTCCTCTCCCCTTCACCTCAAGCTTTAATGATGGAAGGATAAATCATAGGATCATAGATTTAGAATTAGAAGGGACCATAAAGGCCTCTTAGTCCAACCTTCTCATTTTGTAAGTGAGGACATTGGTCACATAGGTAATAGGCAGAAAATCCCATATTTGAACCCAGGCCCTCGAACTCCAAATCCAGCACATTTTTCCATTGTTCCACATTGCCATGAATAGTAGAGTTATGCATTTGTAGGGAGAGAATAGAGAAGAAAACTGAATATGCCTGGAGGTGAGACAAATCAGGTTCTTTGGGCCTCGGGTTCTCCCTCTATAATAACCTGCTTGCCTGGAAGAAGAGGGTAGAGAAGATCTCTTATAGACCTTTCCAGCTCTAAGATCACAGTATCAAAGATTTAGAGTCGGAAGGGACCTAAGAGGTCTTCCAGCCCTTCATTTTATAGATCATAAAACTGAAATCCAGAGCACAGACTCTCTAATTCCAAGTCTTGCACACTCAGCAACATACCTGGTGCTAACCCAACATGTAGCAGTTGTCTTGGAGGGATTCAGCACATAGGACATTTGTCCATAAAACTTGCATGGAAATGCCCATGGAAAATAAGATTAAAATAGTCAAAAAGGAAGTGATCTACTGAAGTCATAGGTCCCTTAAATGGTGATTCAATGAACACATTTAAAGGACCCATTCAAACCCTACAGGGAGAGAATTTTTTGGAGGGTAGGGATAGGGATAAATTAATGTTTGGAGATTGAATTGCCTGGTCTGGCAAACTACACTGGTGAAATTAACCACTTCACTAGACAGGTGCCAAAATATAGCCAATACCTTGCCTCCTTTCACCACTCACCAGGTGATGACCAGCTGAATGAAGTGCAGTAACTTTTTCTCTCCCTTACATGTTGCACAGGTCTTGTTCCCCCTACCTGAACAGGTGCTACACCTTTGAAAGGAAAATAAAAAGAATAGTAGTCACACAAATATGTTTCTACTTACCTCCTGCTTATGACCAAATACTATACTCCTAATACAGAGTTACTCAGTAGTCCTTCTTTAAATTCAACATTCAGCACCATGGCCAGAAGTGCAATCTCTCTTAGTATTATAGCTATAGAAAGTAGTGGAACTATCCCCAGCTAAACAGTTTTATAACCATTATGTGATGTAGGTTTGGCATGTATCCACAGGGGAAGAAAGCCACTTCACCTCTCAAGTATAATTTTTTTCATCAGCAAATGTAATGTAATAAATCAGTGGATCAGCTGAGTATGGTATCATGATATCTGTAATCTCTACTAAAGGGGAGTTTGAAATCAGTGAATCACTTAAGTTTGGGAGTTCTGACCTAAATAAAGTAGAGATAAAACCAACTGGCTATCTAAACTCAGTTTGACATCAATGTGGGGAGCCCCTAGAGCAGAGGGTCCACCAGGATGCCTAAGGAGAGAAAAAATTAGCTCAGATCAAAAATAGAGCAGGTCAGTTGTTCCAAGCCAACCAGCACTGGAATTAGACTCGGGCATGGCCTTCCAGAATAGGTAAGATAAGGCAATCAAATTTTAAAAAGTCAATGGCTTCCAATTTGTGGACTATAGACTCCTGGGGGAGGGAAAGCACAGAGTTTTTGCAAGGGGTCTTCAAATTCATGAGTAAGAAAGCATGCTTTCTGTCAACTGAATAAATGATTCAATGTAGCAGCTATAGGGCTGAGTTTGCATTCTGGAAGACCTGAGTTCAAGTCTTGCCTCTGTTACATACAAGTTGTGTGTCTCTGATCAAGTCACTTATCTAATCAGTTCCCAGTCCGCTAAGAGAACTGTATCCATGGAAAGAATCCATTACCCAGGTGAATTCACAGGTACAAACCACATAAAAATTACATATATATACATATAATTATAATATATATAATATATAGTGTGTGTATAATAGATATAATATATAGTATATACATGTGTGTTGCTATTTTGCAAACATGCATAAATCCTGTTGTGATTAATAGAATACATAGCTTAAAGTGTTAATGAATTCACTGTAACTTTTTCAGCATGTATTTTCTTAATCAATAAATGAATAATACCACAGATACTATCATGTAGGAATTTGTGATTTTTTTTGGCATTCAAAAGGGGTCCTCATTCTTGTAAAGGTTGGAAATTGGTGGTTGCCATCCCAGTTGTTTCTGAGACTCAGGACTTTGCCACTATTCCTCAGCTGCCCTCTCACCCTGGAAATTCCCTCAGTGCTCTGGATCTTCTCCCTTTAGCACATCTGTCTACCTTTTTGGCCCTTTTCTCTCATTGCTGAGTTCCTTCTGGGACCTGAATTTTGAGGACAGGCCCAGGTCAGCCATACTTCATTCTTCATAATACTCTGCTTTTGACTCTCAAGACTTTGCCACTATGCCCCCATGTGGGTAACCTCCCCTCAACTTTTTAATTCCCTTTTACATGTCATCTGTCCCCCATTACATGCAAGCTCATTGAGGACAGGGACTATTCTTTTTGTTTGTGTTTATATTCTTAGCATTTAGCACAGTGCCTGGTATTCAGTAGTTGCTTAATAAATGCTTTTTGCCTTGTTTTTGCGTTGCCTAGATCACTTTTGAGATTTCTTCCAGCTTTAAATTTCTATGCTTAGGCATCTTCAGAAGTCTAAATAGTTATTTTTAATCTCAGAAGGAAATAAGACCAAAATTTAGGAAACCATGGCCAATATGGACTTGGTGAATATTAAACTGTAATGCAAAAAAAAAAAAAAGATTCAAATCAAGAGATACTCACTGAAGTTTGTGCAGGCAATTTTGAGATAAGCTCCATAGGAGCAATTGCTATGTTTAATTCACTTTTCTATATCAAGCTTACACTAGCTAAGTCAGTGTCTATGGAAACAAGGAAGGCAGGAAAGAAGGAAGGAAAAAAGGAAAGAAGGAAGGGATGGAGGAGGTACAGAGGGAAAGAGGAAGGAAAGAAGAGAGGAAGGAAGGAAGCGAAAGAGGAAGGAAGGAAGAGAAAGAAGAAGGAAGGAAGGAAGGAGGGAAGGAAGGAAGGAAGGAAGGAAGGAAGGAAGGAAGGAAGGAAGGAAGGAAGGAAGGGAGGGAGGGAGGGAGGGAGGGAGGGAGAGAGGGAGGGAGGAAGAAAAGGATGGAGGGAAGAAGGTAAAGAAGGAAGAAGAAAGTCATTAAAATTATTCATAGCTTTTAGAGGTGTGTGGTTAGATTATTCAGGGGGCAATATAAGTGGGTTAGCTGAGGATTCTGAAGGTACTTGAGGGTATGACTTTAACCTTTTGAGGTTGATATTATACGAAGTAATGATGGTCAAACATTCCCTCTCCCCACCCACGCATCACAGACTTCAGTACCAACTAAAGAGACAAATCCTGGTTCAGGAGGCCCCTTCATCTATGAGTATGAGGATAATATCCCAGGGTATTACATAATTCTTGGTTCTTATGTCTGTAAACTTCAACCTGCATACACTGGCTTGATGGAAAGGCTACTTTTTGTAGTTTTGCTTTGTCCTTGTTGTCAATATAAACAGTGCCTATAAACATGAAATTAGTCCAAGAAATACGTGAATACTTAGGCCAGAATGATGATAGCCTTGTGGCAGTGCTACAGAAGATTAGCATAACCTCTCCAGACCCTCAAATCTGTATTTCTAACAGATGCCATTAGCATTAACTGCCCCTTCAGCATCCATTCTGAGTTTATCATAATGCAGAAATCAGTAGCCATTAACACTGATTCAGAAAGCTCTCAGAACCCTTGTTAACTTCAGCAGGATCCGAGTTGTAAAAATCACAGCTGTGATTACCCACAATGGCATCTCCGTGGGGCTGCATAGCACAATCAAGAGATGTGGATTTACATCCAGGCTCTGCCTTGATCAAGATGCATGACCTTGGGTGGTGATTCTTGCACTATTAGCTTTCTGGTACCACCCTTGGTTTTCCTTGGAAACAAATATACCTCTACAGGATAGAAGTAAGGTCACAATTTGATGACAGGCAAGAAAGGAACTAAATTCAGAAGCCATATCCTCACATAAACAAAAATAAGAAAATAACAGTAGCATTACAAAATACCTTAAGCTAGAGAACCCTAGAAAGTTTTCACAGGACCTCTTCCCTTCCCTTCCTTTCTTTTCTCCCTCAAACACTGCCTTTCTTCCTGCCTCGTTTTCTTCTTTCTCTTCCCTCCTTCAATTTCTTCCTTCTCTCCCTTCCTCTCCTTTATTCCTATCTTTCCTTTCTCAATGTTTGCTTTTCCTCCTACCTCAATTTCTTTCTTCTCTTCCATTCTTTCTTTCATTGACTCCCTTTCTCCATTTCTTCTTCTCCTTCCTTTCCTGCCTCAATCTGAATTTCTTCTTGCCCTAATCCTTTCCATCTCTTCCTTCTTCCTTTCTACCCTTCTTTCTACTTTCCTTCTTTCTCTCCTCCTCCCTTCCTTCATGCTTTTCTTTCTTCCTACCTCAGTCAGTACCTTTCCTTTGAACTCAATCCCTTTCTTCCCTCTATCCTTTCCTCCATTTTCTCCTTTCCCCCTTTATTTCACATTTTGTTCATTCACTGAGCATTTTTTGGGTGCCTATCAGATAAAAGGTCCAATACTGAAGGAATATTGAAACAAAAAATATTGCCCCTATATTTAAAGAGTTTATTATCTAGTAGGGAGATTAGGTATATTTATAAATAATACAAAAGAGAGTATGAAAGATGCAATAATATGTGCATTGTACTTTCAGAGTTCAGAAAAGTGAGAGATCATTTCTGGATGAAGAATCATAAAGAACTGTTATGGAAAGGGTGGTATGAGTATCTAAACTTTTTTTTAACAGATGCTAACCCTGTTAGATGCTGCATAAGATACAGAGAAATATAAATCTTGTCCCTGCCCTCACAGAGTTCAGAGTATAGTCATGGGAGAAAGATTTTAGCACATGAAAAAGCTAGACAAGACATGAAGTGATATACCAATGGGTCTAGAACTGGGTGGTTTAGAGCAGAGGTGTCAAACTTGTAGCTCAAGGCATAAAACTCCCAAGTGTGCCAGAACCAGATTAAAATGTAATTGGGAATTATTTAACAAAATAAATAAAAATACAAAACACAAATAATATTAATTTGTGGTTTTCTAAATCAATATGTGGCCTGTAGAAATCTATTTCTATTTGAGTTTGATATTACTGATTTAGAGAATGTTTTAGAAATCCAAAGATCATTCACAGGACCCTCTCAGGTAGCTAGCCACCTAGATAGGAATTTCATTTGCATTCTCAATACTAATCTATTTCAGTGTACATACCTCTTCCGCCCAGAACCAGAGCACACCTGACATCTTCGGGACTGCTTAGCCTTGCGTTTGGCCCCACTGCAGGAGGCACATCGCATCTAGAAACAAACCATCCAAGTCAGCACTTGGCCAGCACCAAATCATTTATTAGGAGTCATGAGGAAATGTGGTGGGTGAAGCAGGGAAGCACATGTTATGGGGGATGGATAATGTTAACACTGCTAATATAGCCTAGCTCATGGTTACCTGTATTCTGATCTCCTACAGGTCAAATTATAGCTTTGAGACCTGACTGCCATTGATTTGTGTGAATCAGTGGACTGGTATCATAGAATCCCAGACTTAGAGCAAGAAGGCACTTTAGGGGTCATCAAGTTCAACTTCCTTCTGTCTATAAAGGACCTTAGAGGCTAACTAGACCAATCTCTTCATTTTACAAATGAGAAAACTGAGGCTCATGAAGTTAATGATATGCCCCAAGTCACACATAATTCACAAACATCAGGAGCAGGATATGAGCCCAGGTTATGTCTCCAAATCTGATACATTTTCCCCTGGTACCATATTATCTCTCATGAATCATAGTGAGTTGAAACTTTAAGAGATCATAATCCAACCAGATCACTTTACTCTTAAGGAAACATCAAGTCATAGATATTCGATAATTTTCCAGAAGTAAAAAGTGGTAGAGTTAGTGCTCAGACTCCAGGGTCAGTCAGTGCAGTTTCTATTCCCCTATGCCACACACCCAGTTTCTGAATACTCTGACTTTATTTGATTTCCACCATGCTCTCTCCTACTACTCTTTACATGACTTAACCCAAGCTTCATCTCAGGTCACTAAAACCAACCTCTCAGGTAAAGAATTGGCCAACACTTCAAACAAGGATGGCCCAAACTCACCGTGCCAGCTCCATGGCATCCGCTGCACTTGTACCGTCCTCGTCCCTGGCATTTGTGGCAATCCTGAAAGCATAACACTTCCTGTGGGTCAAACTGCCCAAATAGAGAGGCTTGCTACAATGCTACCAAAGATCCCTGATGTCATCAGTGTGGTTATTCCCTCACTGACATAGATCTCAAAACTTTCATTTCTAAGTAGAGGGCCCTCATGGGTTGCTGTAGTCAAAAAATTTCATCTCCTGGTACCCAACATTCTGGGGGCAAGTTTCTCCATGCTTAACAAGGTAGATCATCTTCCACCAGTCCTGTCTACAGATGTTTGTTTTAAGTCTTTCCAGCTCAGTAGGACCTGTCAGGGTCCATGTTCCAATGCCAAAATTTTTAAGAAACCTCCTCTATGCCATTATGATACATCAAAAAACAGCTTTTATGGACGAGCACCCAATTTGCAGATACCTATACATTTGAGCAGTTCTGTGCTTATAGTGAAAAGGATGGCCTGATTTCAAAATAGGTGGCCTCCAAAGAGTAACTACTCTCAACACGTTAATAGGCATTTCTTTTTTTATTTAAATAAAATTTATTTCAATTAACAAAATCCTATTTTTCTCTCCATCCCCCAATAACAACAAATGGAAACCAAACCCTTGTGACGAATATGCTTAGTCAAAATGAACTCTTGCATTGGTCTAAAATATGTGTGTGTGTGTGTGTGTGTGTGTGTGTGTGTGTGTGTGTCTCATTCTGCTGCTTGAGCCTATTACCTCTCTCTCATGAGGTGGACAGCCTGCTGCATCAGTGCTCTGTAGTCATAATTGGTCATTGCATTGATCAGAGTTCTTAAGATTTTCAAAGTTTGGATATTCTTTGCCCATACGACACAGATTATTCCTCATACAAACAACAAAGGAAAACAGAAGCTGTGTTCCCAGACTACCAAGATCTATCCCAGAAAGCATTTTCCCATTGAAATCTTGTCAAAGGTAATGATTGGTTTCCCAAGTGAGCTCATAACTAGCCCCTTAACCTTTTATGTCTCTTGGAGCATAAGCCATTGGTCAGCTGGAAGCAATCTATATTTGGCAAAGAGGAAGAAGCTATTTTTTCAACACTGAGTAAATAAGGTCATTCATTCTGAAAACAAGACACTGAATATCTCCTGGAAAAAGACCATGCTAGAAGCAGTACAATATACTGAACTTAAGAGATCCCTAAATTCTTCGGTTAACTCTGATTTTATTCAGCATAAGGATAGGGACCGGGATTGTGATTTCATTAGTGTAGGGACTAGGATGAAGAAAATCCCTCTACTGATGCAGATTGGAGCCTTCTCTTCAGGTGTCTTAAAGATATGCCCATAACACTAAAGTTAAATAATTTGCCAAGGGTCATATAGCCACATGAGGATTCTGTTAGTGGATGGAAGCATGGAAATTTTCCTCATGGAAACGAGAGTACATTATGGTATCTGTTACATGGTTTATAGCAGAACTCTATTGGTTGAATGTGGCAGATATATGACGGCAGAAGAGAGAGAAAATATACGAGAGTTATTTCTGGAAGACTCCAGGCTTACTGAATGTAACCCAATGACTGGGTCAGTGAAAAGTTATAATGCAGATTCTCTTTTCCCATTTATTTCCCTTACAATATTTGTGGAGATGTGTTTAGCTTAATTATGTATTTTCAATTGTCATTTATTCCTAACACTTCAGCTTTTTTCTCCTACCTGCCTATCATTTCCCCCCTTCTCACAAAACATCTGTGAATGCAAGTAGCCGAGGGAGTGTGTGATTTTACTTTTAAAAAGAGCAGCTGTAAAGCAAAGCATATTTTTCTAATGACAATACTGACCCCCTCACCTACTATTATGCCCATAATGGGTTTGGTTTGAGGTTAAAGTAGGATATGTTTTTTCCATGAGGAATTACTTCTCTAAATATGTGGCCACTAATAAAATTGTATTGATATCTTTTGTTTTTTATATCACCTGCATTTCCCAATATACTCCATCCCCCTCCCAAAGAGCCATCCCCTACAGAAATTAGCTTTGAAAAGAAAATACTATGCTTCTGAAAACTTAAGCAATAAATTGAAAAAAGTCTGATATTACATGCATCATTCCAAACCAATAGATCGCCATCTATGAAAAGAAGAGGAAGTAGGGAGAAAGGTAGCTTCCTTCTTAAAAGATCTCATAGTTAGGAAATTTTCAACACCTGGTAAAACTCTCAGAAATTAGAAAATCATTATATATGAAAGACCATTGTTCAATCAGTCAATCAACATTTGTTAAGTGCCTACTGTTAAGTGCCAGGCACTGTTACTGTTGTTGTTTGTCCTTTATTCTTGAAGAGGACCATGACATCAGGAATGTGATGCCATGACCTGCAAGTGAATTAGATTTAAGTGAAATAGAGCTGTGCAAAGTCGCCAGCCTCACTTTCTTCTCCAGAGCCATGTGGGTCCAGTGGCAAGATATAGATCAGGATGACTGAGGTTGGCCCCTGCCAGGCACTGACCCAAGCATTGGAGATGCAAAGAAAGGGGAAAAAGAAAAAATCCCTGCCCTCAAAGGGCTCACAGTCTAATGTTGTTACACTCGATCTCTCTGGCTGCTAATGCTCTAAAATTATTTTGTCTATTTTGTATCATATATATATATGATATATATGTGTGTGTGTATATATATATATATGATGTGTGTGTATATGTATACACACACACACACATATATATACATATATATATACATATATATATATATATATATATATATATATACATATACACACACACACATATATAAGCATATGTTGTCTACTCTATCTAGACTGTAAGCTCCTAGAGGGCAGGGACTGTTTTGCTTTCGTCTTTGTGTGCCTGTAGTCTAGCACTGAGTCTGAAACATGCTAAGCACTTAATAAATGCTTGCTCGTTGGTTTATGCTTATTGTCACATTACCTTAACTAAGGAAGAGTGAGGTACTTGAAATTTCTTGGTCTCCTCCTGAAACATGGGAGGGACGTGCACTTTGATGTCCCAAGGCCTGGGAGATGCTCCTTTTTTCGGGCCATCTACTGAGTGATCTAAATAAAAATTAAAAGAAAGGAAATCTCTGTGAATCTGTGACCTAGCCAAATGTGGTTAAATTACTTATAATTAATTGTAAGCTGAGTCTAGTTTGTAGATTGGAATGAAGTTTAGGGTTAACGGTGAGGGCTATGATTAAAGTTAGAATGATAATTAGATTTAACCGAACTACTTCTCCAGGAAGTTTGTGAATAGAGCATTAGTTAAATCAGTTGAGCAAATAAAAAATACAATATTATGAAGCACGTATGTTGTGCCTTGAAGAACAGTGCCCAGAATTCACCCTTGAAAGGTGGAGGGAGGGTATGGGGTAAAAAAATCTCCTCCCACTCAGTTCTACCACTTTTACTTCCTTGGAGGTTTCTTAATGAAGCTGCTTTGTGGAATATGATTTAGGCTGTATAGCCACTAAGGTACTTTCAGTCTCTAAAAACTTAAGCTTCTGTAATTCTTGTGGATCTTGGGAGTTTTTCAGAATTTGGATACAAATTCAAATACTCTTAGCAAAATTAAAAAAAAACTTTAATTATCAGCTAGTACATTAATGAATATGAGTTTACCACAAGCAGAGACCAAGAAAGGCTCATGGAGGAAAAGGTATTTTGTATATCAGAGTAACCAGGACATGGTAGGTTGATGGTGATGGGCAAGTGGGAAAAAAAAAAAGAATCAAACAGTTAACTGGGAGTAAAATTGCTAAAAATTTCTCTAGCAAAGGTTTCATTTACAAGCTATATGAGGAAGTGATTCCAATTATCAGAATAAAAACCATTCCCTGACTAATAAATCATTGATGAATATAAACAGGTAATTTAAGAAATTTAAGAAATTTAATTTAAGAAATCCAAGTACATGAAATAATGCTTCCTATTACTAGTAATTTGAACAATGCATATTAAAGCAACTTTGAGATTCATATCATATTCATCAGCTTGGCAGAGTTGACAAAAATGAAAAATGTTGGAGGAAGTAGAAGGAAATAGGTGCATTGATGCTAAGTGAGTGGGGCTGTGAATCAGTCCAGCCATTCTGAAAAGAAATTTGGAACTATGCCCCTAAAGTTAGTAAACTGTGCCCTTTGACCCCAAAATAACATTATTAAACCTAATATCCCAAATTGTTCAAATAAAGAGGAAAAGTTCCCATACATATAAAAATATTTATAGCATCTTTTTTGTGGTGGAAAGAACTAGAAACTAAGGGAGTACCCATAAATTGGGGAATAGATGAATGAATTATGGCAAGTGAATGTAATAGAATACTGTCATGGCATAAGAAACAATGAAAAGGGAGTTTTCAGAGAGCTGGGAATACTTGTATGAAGTGAAATAGAATGAAGAGAGTGACACCAGAAGAATAATTTATGCTATAATAATAACATCATAAATTCAAACTTCAGAAGACTTAGGAACTCTGTTCAATGCAGTTATCAACCATCATTTCAGAGGTTCAAGGATGAAGAATGCTACTACCTCATGACAGAGAGTCGATGGGCTAAATATACAAAGACACATGTTTGGACATATCCAAAATGGAAACTGTTTGCTAGATTATGCATGTTTGTTACAAGGGCTGTTTTTGCTTTTGTTTTTCCAATGAAAATAGAAGGGAGAGAAAATGGGGTTTTGTTCATTAAAATAAATTAAATTTTTAAAAAGGAAGGAATTAAAGACAGACCTCAAAAACCCATTCCGAAACTTTGGTTCCAATCAACTACCTCAACAGAAGGGCAAGAAAATCTTTATCAACTCATTCTCTCATTTCTGTATTTTATAAAAGTACATTTTCCTGCATTGGATTTCTGTACACCAGAAATTGGCTGTCACCCTGGATTTGTGCCTTACTTTTCAAGGTTTATTGATGGAGCAGCTTCAAGGAAACACTCAGTGCCTAGAACTCTGTGGTTTTGAAAGTGATTAAATCCTGCCCCAAGTTACTCCAAGAACTAAATAAGCATTGCTCCATAGTAATAACTCACATTTCTGTAACACATAAAGGATTTGCAGTACAAATATTGCTATCCTCATCTTAAAGAAATAGAAACTGAGCCTCAGAGTGACAGTTGCCTCTAAACGTAGAGATAGGCAGAAATAAGAGAAACAGCAGTAAGAAGCCTGACAGCAGAGATTGTTGAGTTCAGTCTTTTTATTCTGAGCACTTAGCACCTTGCATATAGTAGGTATTTAATCAACATTCCACATTAGAGTTAAAATGAACTTAAAGACCATCTCAAGACATGATCACTTACTGGGAGATATTTTAGAACAGTCATACCCAGAAAAGAGCCCAGATCTCCTAATTCTCATTCCAGTATTCATTCTTTGGTACAACCCTTACTGGGTAAAAGCATGCTGATAAATGGTTTCACAACCTGCTCTGGAGAAGGAAAAAAATATACCCAAAATATATTTTAAAGTTTAATCTGCATTAACATTTTCTAAAGTCCAAACAATGAAACAAACCAAGCCCTAATTTCTGTTGTTCAGTCATTTCCGTTGTGTCCAATTCCTTGTGATCCACTTTAGGGCTTTCTTGGCAAAGACACTAGAGAGGCTTGCCATTTCCTTCTCCAGTTCCTTATACAAATGAGGAAACTGAGGCAAACAGGGTTAAGCAACTTGCCCAGGGTCACACAGCTAGTAAATGTCTGAGGACAGATTTAAACACACAGAGATGAGTATTCCTGATTCTAAACCCAGTGCTCTAACCACTGTGCCTGGTTTGCAGCATTTGCCAATTTTTGACACGTAAATGCTCAAACTGAACATTTAGCATTCAACTGTCACTAGCTGGCTTTCAAATGCTCCTGAGGATAAGGGGTTTTTTTGGGGGGAGGATAAGTTGTTCATAATTAAATTGATATCTCAGCATCTACTTACTAGTATAAGGTTGAAATGTCCATTCACTTAACCTGGATTCACTAAAGGTCTCCAGTCGATACTAGAAAAAAAATTCATAATCATGACCTTTACAAGAAAAAAACATTATATAAGGAAAGTAATGTCTACCTGGTGCTGCCTCTGGGAATTAGCTGGAAGTTTCTTTTCACAAAGCCATTTATGTATGGTCCAAATGGCTCCTCAATAAATAATTCAAATCCCAGTCTTGTAACAGCTCCGGATGCCTTCGGTGCCTTTATGTCACATGAAATGCTTCCTTTCCCCAAAGTCTCAAAACTGAATTAAATTTAAGGTTTAATTTTTTAAAAGTGAACCCATTCTACGTGGCATGTTTTAGGGCAGCATTGTGCTGGTAAATATTTAACCAGCTCTCTGAAAAAAAGGCCACATTATACATTTTTAAGGTTAATCAGTTATTGACATTTTGTCCATCACTTTCTTAAGTCTAGATAGTCATCAAAACAATAAATCAAGCCCTAATTTGTAGCATTTGTGATTTTTGACACGTAAATGATCCCACTGAAAATTTAACTATCAGCTCTTGGTATGAGTGACTCCAGTACAGCCCTATTGGAGGGGAGGAGAAGGTGATATAATAAAATGGCATACCACATTTGGAAAGCTGGGGATCATTGTTCTGAGGGCCATGACTTAGAACATCATTGAAGTCCCATTTCTTTATCCTTATAGTCATCTCAGGAAACTTTAAAAAGCCCTGCACATAAGGACTTAAATGATTCACCAAGAAGGAATACCCAGCACTGATTCTTTGCTATTGGTCTGATGTAGGGTATTGGAAAGTTCGGTGATGTTTCCTTAGTCATGTATCTATTATGAGTCAGAAGCAGGATCTGAACCATGATTCTAAAGCAAGTCCTTTAGCCATTATACTGTGCTGCCTCTCAGACTTACTCCCTGCAGCGACCTCAACACTTGTTGCCTTGGTCTGGATTGGAACCTGATCCCTGTGGTCTTCCCACATTGTACCCATTTTCTCTACATGTTATTACCAATATTTGCCTGACGTGACTCCCAGGAGTGGCCCCAGGCACAGAAAGCATCTGAACATTTCTGCTTATTGCCAAGAACTGGGTGGTGCTCATATCTCATCCCTCCCAGCAGTGGTCAGGAGAGGCCCTCAGAGGTCCTTGATCAGGAAGCCTACTTACTCTGTATAGCATCTGTTGCCTCAGATCCTGAATGACCAGCTCCCCGGCTGCTCGGTTGCCATAGCAACACCTGGAATTCACAAAGCTCAGGAGGGCATTCCGGGCCATCTCCTCTGTCATGACGGGAATGCTATGGGAGAAAATAGTTCAATGGAACCAGCAGGCATCCAAATGCCAATTCTCCAAAGAATTCTTCAGGGTTTACCAGCAGTCAGGCATTGATGATAGAAGGATAGATGGGGTAAAGGCCTCATCATCACTTACAATCTGATAACGGGAAAGCAAGTTACACAAATAACGATGATGAAAAGAAAATTCAGAGGTTCCAAAAGAGCATTAGAAGGAAGAGATGCTGTTCACCTGGGCGGGAAGGACAGAGGAAATGACGCCTCAGCTGGACCTTAAAAGAATACATGGCCTTCAACAGACCTGTTGGAAGACTATTGTAACAGCCCAGAGAGATGCAAAGTAATCAGCTGTGAGAAGCAAGGAAAGAAAGAGAGGTCAGAGATAACCCCAAGGTTTCAGACTTTGGAGACCACAAAACCGCTCACTGACACCAGAACACATCCTGCAGTTTCCCACCTTCACATCTTAACTCCCTACAACTTGAATGCCCCCTTCTCGGTCTGTTGAATTCTACCCCCTCCTTTAAAGCTCAGTTAAAATCCTGTCGCCTCCAGAAAGTGTCCTCCATTTCCCCCAGTTAATAATAATCTTTGGTCCTTTGAATGTCACAAATTAGCCTTTCTAATACATTGAGATTGGGAATGGACTTGTGATGTCTTTGCAACTCCCTCTACCAAAGCACATCAGAAATTTCTCTACAACTTATAGTCCTAGGGAATTGCCTGGGGCCTTAAGAGGCTAAGTGATATGTGCAGTGTCACAGAGCCCTTAGGGGTCTAAGGAAGAACCTGAACCCAGTTCTCTACCCACTATACCACTCTGCCTCTTATCTAACGTGCTTATCAGGTATTATCATTATTTGTGCACCACATCCCTCTACTAGAAAATAAGCTCCATGAAAGCAGGGACTATGTTTAACCTAAACTGTGTATCTCCTCCAGTACCTAACATGGGGCTCTGCTCACAACAATAAATGTTTGTTAAAATATATTGTTTTAAGAATTGTAAGAGATATTAGTTCTCTGGACCCACCGATGAGAAATAGTAGATTAGTTTTATAAGAGTAGATGGATCATAGTTTTAGAACTAAAAGGGGCCTAAAAAGCCATCTAGTCTAATAATTTCATTTTACAAAAAAAGAACCAAGGCCTGAAAAGTGATTTATTCAAGGTTACACAGTTATCAGATATCATAGCTGGGGCTTGAATGCAAGGAATCATAGGATCTTATAGCTAGAGTTGGAAAGGATCTCAGACGCCATCTAGACCATTTCTTCTTATTTTACAGACGAATAAACTGAGCCCAGTGGCAGCTAGGTGGCACAGCGGATAGAGTGATGGCCCTGGAGTCAAAAAAGCTCATCTTCCTGAGTTCAAATCTGGACTCAGACACTTACTGGTTGTGTGACCCTAGACAAATCACTTAACCCTGCTTGCCTCAGTTTCCTCCTCTGTAAAATGAGCTAGAGAAGGAAATGGCAAACCACTATAGTATCTCTGCCAAGAAAACCCCAAGTGGGGTGGGGTAGAGTTGGACACGACTGAAACAACTCACCACCAACAACAATAAAACTAAGCCCCAGAAAGGTTAAAGTTAGTTATCTAAGATAACATGGTAGTAAGCAACTCAAATGAGATTTGAGCTCACATCTTCTGACTCCAGAACCACTTATTTAATAACGATTGATTGAGCACCTACTATATGGCTAGTCCTATAGGAGCTGTATGAGTCATACGATCAGTATAATAAACAATTTCTGCCCTCCTGGTACTCCCATCCATCCTACTTGTTGAGACAAGGCAATTCACAAGAGGGAAAGCACATGGCTGCTAGGAATAGCCAGGAAAGCTTTATAGAGAAAACGAGAATTGAAATAGGCTTTGAATCATAGGAGTCATTATAGGCAGAGTAGAAGGAGAAAGGAAATCTTCCCCAAAACCTCCATTTGAGGAGGCTCAGTGCCTGACTCTGGACTTTCCACTTTCTGGCCCTGCTTCCAAGGACCTTTTCTCCACATACCCTCTTTTCAGCTCTCTTGCATGTATTGTCTTCCTCATTAAATTATAAGCTACTTGAGAGTAGGGAGCGACTGTCTTTCTGTTTGCTTGTACTTTCATTCCCTGAATTTAGCACAATACTTGTAACATGGTAAGTGCTTAATAAATGTTTTACCTAATCCAGCAGTTGTCAAATTTTGGATTCTCAAGATACTTTTATACCCTTAAAATTATTCAAGAGCTTGGATTTTATGGGTTTTATCTAGTGATATTTGTTGTTTTAGTATTATTATGAAAATCATTTTGACCTCATGGACCCCTTGAAAGGATCATGAGAACTCCCAGGGGTTCTGGGACACATTTTGAGAATCACCCACCTAATCAACAGAACATAGTACAAGCAAAGACTAAAACATTCAGTCTCAATAATGGTAACTAGAGTTGGTTTTTCAAGGCGCTTTTCTCATCTCTATGAGGTTGCTAGTCCAGATACTATTTTCCCCATTTTACAGATGTTGAAAATGAGACTTACAGAGCTTTGATTTGCCCATGGACTCAGAGCTAAATACCTGAGGCAGGATTCTAATACAGATCTTACTGACTTCCAGTAAAATGTTCTCTTTCTGCCATTCCAGGACGACTCACACAAGGCCAGAGCCATACAACTCTAATTGGAAGGGTGATAAGAGTGGAAGTAGTCTATGCCTTACAAAAAAGTGGAGGAAAATCCAAAGTATTACAAAGGCCCATTATCTGAGCTAACTTCACCAGCAAGGTGGTGCAATCTAGGCTTCAGGAGGAAAGGGGAAGGAGGTATTCCTAGCAAGTTGTTGATCTGGAATTCCTCTAGCATCAGAGGATTCTGTGTCAAGATTCCACTTCTGACCCTAATTACCAGTGTGACCTTGGGTAAGTCACTTCAATTCACTGGGCCTCTGTTTCCTTAACTATAAAATAAAGGTACTGGTCTAGGTAGCTTCTGAAGTTCTTTCCTCTCTAGATCTAAGATCCTGGGATCCTGGACTGTAGTTTTGGGTTTATAGCAAATACAAAGTGCTTTGAGACCTCGTGTGATGGCTTTCTATGGGCAATATGCTATTCCAGAAACTCAAAAAAATAAGTAGCACCTCACCTGTGTTGCAGAAATATCGGCCGGTTCCTCTGATCGCTGAGTTTCCTCAAGGATGTTGAAGGTAGGGAGCTTTGTGTTTGGCCTGGATGAAAAAGAAATTAGAAACCAATACTTTACCATCTCTGTTGGAAACTGCCCACATGTCCCTCAAAATGTTTTACACCTTTCAAGCTGGTTTGTTCCCAAAGGTTGTGTTCCCAAAGCCATGGACAGAGGTCAGATTTGGAGTCATAGAATCTGAGTTCAAATCCTGACTCCGGCACTTACTATGTATTCTTGAACAGAGAGTGCACAGAGGACCTTGTTCCATCTCTTCCTTCCCCCCCCTCCTCCTGCCCTATCAAGTGATAGCAGAAAACTCCGAAGTTGGTGGATGCTATCATTGCCCTTGTGGTCTCTTGACTTCTGTGCTTGTCATCATTAACCGTACTTAATGTCCTCTGGTAGGTATCTGGGCAGATCTCAGAACACAAGGACCCCAAACTTACATAGTAACTTGGTTTCTGAACTACATCAACTACTTCTTTCTTTGCTTCTTTTTCTGGTTCCTCCACAGTAAGTCAAAGATACTGATCTATAAGCTACTCCAAAGTGATGGTGTAAGTGGGGCAGGATTGGAACAACACCTCCCTGGCCATTGTCGATTTCATTCATTCGAGCCCATTCCTTTCATACACACACACACTTCACAAGAATGGATTTATGAGACAAATTGGACTTGCCACCACCTTGAAAAGGCCAACTGTAGTGTGCCAGTTGTTCTAGAAGTTCAACAGGAGGAGCCAGGGGACTCTCAGCCTCATAGCTGAGGTCCATGATACCTGCCAAAAGAAACAGCCATCATGAAGAACTGACAAAGAAAAATTGCCTGGCTACCTTTGTAATATCCCACTGTCTCTAACCCATCTCCATGGACCCAACCTGGGAAGGATGAGGTGGCATGCAATGGCCTGAAGCTGCAATAGACATGACCTTCAGAGCCCTGCCCTTGGCATTCCCTCAATAATTCCCCACTGCCAGGGCTAGGTCAGTCTGGCTGAGCAGCCCAACGAGTCAGACACTGATTACATACATGAGAAGTCACTCTTGATTCACAGAACCTCAGAATTTCAGGACTTGAAGCACAGGCAGCTAGGTAATGAGTGTGGGGTGGAGAATCAGGAAGATGTGAGTCTGAATCTTACTTCAGATACTTACTGTGTTTCCCTCAAGCAACTCATTTAAACTCCCCAAGCCTTGTTTTTTTCTCATCAATAAAATGGAGATACACCTCACAGTATTGTAGGGAGGATGAGATGAGAAGATATTACATGTTGTAAAATGTCATGCAGACCTTAAAGTACTAAATAAATGCTATCCACTCTCTTCCTGAAAGATCATTTAGTCCAAGGGTGGGGAACCTGCAGCCTCAAGGCCACATGTGGCTCTCTAGGTCCTCAAGGGCAGCCCTTTGACTGAATCCAAACTTCACAGAACAAATCCCCTTAGTATAAGACTTTGTTCTGTAAAACTTGGACTCAATCAAAAGGTCTCACCCAAGGACATAGGCCCCACCCCTGTGACCAACTTGTACCCAACCAATAATTTATATGACATGTAATAATAAATAACAATAGTAATAATAGCCAGCATTTATGTAGCACCTTCAGGTTTGAAAAGCACTTTACATATGGTATCTGATTTGATCCTCACAAGAACCCTGTAATTTAGGTACCATTATTGTCTGCATTTTAGTCATTCAATCAATAAATATTTATTAAAGGCCAAAACTGAGACAAACAGAGGTTAAATGATTGCCCCAGCTCACCCAGCAAAGGGGCAGGTAGGGCAGGATTCAAATTCAGAGAGCTTTCTGATTTCAAGGTCTGCTCTCTGCCCATGATGCCACCTCATTGCCTCCAGTAGCCATCTAGCTCATGCTTAGAGACCTCCAGGGAGATCCCCTCATGGTGGCAACACATTCTCCTTGGAGACGGCTCTCAGGTTAGGAAGTTTTCCTGACATCTAACCTAAACTGTCTCATTACAACTTCCACCTGGTGCTCAAAGATCCATTCTTTGGATGGTAAGCTCTTTGAGGGCAGAAACTGTCTTTTGCCTCTTTTTGTATCCCCAGTAGCACAGTGGAGTAGCTAAGTGGTGCAGTAGGTAGGGTGCCAGGCCTGGAGTCAGGAGGACCTGACTTCAAACCTAGCCTCAGATACTTACTAGCTGTGTGACCCAGGGCAAGTCACTTAACCCTGGTTGCCTCAGTTTCTTCATCTGGAGAAGGAAATGGCAAACCACTCTAGCATCTTTGCCTAGAAAACCCCAAACAGGGTCACAAAGAGTTGGACGTAACTGAAAAATGACTGAATAACAACAAACTTAGCAGTCTGGCACATAGTAGGAGCTTAATAAATGTTGACTGATTGATTGATTATATAGAAAAAAGTCTCATTCTCTTCCGTAAGAGAGCCTTTCAGATATGGGAAGAATGATTGTTTTCTTCCCTAAATCTTTTCTCCTGGCTAATGTGTCCTTTCCTGGTAGAGAAGCCATATTAAAACGTTTTTAAATTTTTTTATGTTCCATTTTAGTATGCCACAAGTTAAAGAAAGTGTTTCTCCCTCTCCATGCCTAGTTAGGCATCTATCTGTCCAATCGCGACACTCAATCTCAGAAACATAGATATGTATAGATAGGTATATGTCCATATATGTATATATATATATATATATATATATATATATATATATATATATATATATATATATATATATATATATATATATATACATATATATATATATCTCCTTGTTTTCTTATATGTGTATATATGTGTATATCCAGAGATAGATGATAGATAGATAGATAGATAGATAGATAGATAGATAGATAGATGATAGATAGATATCCATACCCAGCCACTCCCACACTACTTCCTCCCTTCTCTCTTAACCAGGGTATTGCTCTACCATCCACACACTTAATCCAATCCTTTTCTGTCTCTTAGAATCCCAAGCTTCCTTCAAGACCCAAGTGATACCTCCTGTACCTGTAGTTTCCCCATCTTCCCAGGGGCTGAAACTGTCCTTCCATTTTTTTTAAATAAGGATACCCTAGAAATAGCTTAATCCTGCACTAACATTTTTGGGACACCCTGTAATTGTTTTTTTTTAATTTTGCATTTATCTGTGTATTTGTTTTAGCCAACAGAATATAAGTTCCTTGAGGTCAGATAGTTTAAATAACTTCACTCAACCAATAGAAAGTAAGCTTCTTCAGGGCAGGGGCTAATCTGTTTTTTCTCATTGCGTCCCTAGTGGCTGGCCCAGGGCTTGGCATGTAGTAGGTATTTAATAAATGCTTGTTGATTGACAGAGAATAAATTTGCTGCTCTGCTTTTATAATGACTATAGTGATCCCTTCAGAAAAGTAATAAAAGGGGGTGGGTGCTCAGTGGTCACTAAGTGGACTTTACTTGACCCTCACTTTACTTCACTATCACTTAGTTGGAATGACCCAGGACTCACCACACAGTCTCTGGGGAGGCAGGTGAGTATTGTGAGAAATGCCCCATCTCTGCAGTCAGAGGATCTGCATGTACCATTCATTTTCCTCATTTGTGAAGTAAGGACCTTGGACAAGATGGCCTCAGAGGTCTCTTCAGATTTAAGTCTATAGTCCTCTGAGCAGAGTGTATCACTCTCTACCTTTACTCAGGATTCAAGCCATTTAACCTTTGGCCAGAAAAATGGGCAGTGGAATTCAAAGTGTGTATCCAGGAACTTTTCAGGTTTGAGAAAATGAAAGAAAAGCATTGAAATGAAGGTTCACGATGGCTATGTGAGCAACTTCAGTAGAATACTACCTCTGTTTTCTACATAATGAAAAAATGAAGCTCTGAGATTGTCATTTGCTAGTTGCTCCAGAGTCAGGCCCTGGCAATATGCCCTTCCAAAATTTTGAGGCAGTCCCAGGCCATCCAACAGCCCCTAGAATCTCAGAGTTGGAGGGAATAAGTCGCCTCATTTCTCCTTAAGAATGTTCTTTGGCTCCCTACTGCCTCCAGGATGAAACACAGACTCCTCGGGTTGGCATTTATAAGCCTTTGCATTCTGGCTCCTGCCAATCCTTGGCCTTTTATATATCACAGTCATCCCTCTCACATACTGTAAGGTATGTTTATACATGTACATGTTATAGTTTGACTCCTAACCCAGACTCTTACCCTTGGTTATAGTAATAATGACAATAATAATAACTAGCATTTATATAGCACCTTAAGGGTTACAAAGCACTTTACTTATGATAATTCATTCGATCCTCACAACAACCCCAGCTAGGTGCTATATTAGGAAAGTGAGGCATAGAAAGATTCAGTGACTTGCCAGGATCACACAGCTATTAAGTAATTATCCGAGACAGGTCTTGAACTGAGTCCTTCCAGAATCTAACTCCCATCTGTCTGCCTAAAGGAGAATAAAAGCCACTTTAGGGACAGAGGCTGTTTTATTTTTCTTTGTATACCTAATGTGTGCCTAACACTTAGTAGGTGTTTAATAAGTATTTATAAAACTGTGGGTGGGGGGAGCAGCTGGGTGGTGCAGTGGATAGAGCAATGGCCCTGAGGTCAGAAGGACCTGAGTTCAAATCTGGCCTCAGACCAAACACTTGACACTTACTAGTTGTGTGACCCTGGGCAAGTCACTTAACCTCAATTGCCTAAAAAAAAAAAAAAAGGACAAATACAACCACTAGGAAAAATTTCTATCAGGATCCTGAGGTCTGTTAGAATTCTGAAATAGGTTGTTGAGCTTGGACATCAGAAAAAGGGAGCTAGAGGAGGAGGATGGGACCTCTGGCCCAGAGCCCTGAAATATGGGGTGGGGGTGATGGGCCTGTCCTCTACCATCCACACAAGTTAATCTTATGGGGCTTGCAGTGCAATCACTCTTTAAGTCCCAGAACACTGGGCCCAAAGGCTTAATGGTAAGTCCCTTTCCACAAGTTTTGTAGTCCCCCCCACCATGTCAGCATTCCATATACATATGTGTGTATGTGTATATATGTATGTCTGTATATATGTATGTATGCATGTATAAGCACACATATGAAATATATGTGAATGTGTATATGTATTAATGTATCTATGTGTGTATGTGTATAGACATGTGTGCATGTATGTTTACATGTATGTATATTTGTGTGAGGGTAAGCCTAAGGTTTATGGAAGGAATTTTATATTATTGTATTATTTACATTGTCATTAAGGTAAATGCAGGGCAGCTAGGTGGTACAGTAGATAGCATGCTGGGCCTGGTATCACTGAGTTCAAATTTGACCTCAGATACTTACTAGCTATATGACTCTGGGTAAGTCATTTAACCCTGTTTGCCTCAGTTTCCTCATGTGTAAAATGAGCTGGAGAAGGAAATGGCAAACTGCTGCAGTATCTTTGCCAAGAAAACCCCAAATGGGGTCTTGAAGAGTCAGACGTAACTTATATGCATAAGTTATGAACTGTATATAATCTGATTTACAAGGTAAAAGAAAAACACAGCTTTGGGGGCTTGTGAACTGTAGAAAATTCTGACCCATAAAAATGCCTAGAACCTGGAGTAGCTAACAAGGAGGCCCATAATAAGGAGTGTCCAGGGCATATTTCCATGGTTATAGTATATATTTTATTTTTCTTGAGTCTGCTTTCTTCATTCTGTATATTTTTGGCATTCTTCATGTCATGTTCATGCATTCTTTCCACTACATCAAGCTGGTTGTAATAGAATGTAGGAAGATAACAAAGTTCAGCACCTTGCAAACAATAAGAGCTAAATCGA